ATAGAAAACCGTTCCGAGAATAACGGGTATTATTACTGAAATAAAAATTGGCTTTAGAAAGATGAGCGGAGAACTCATATTTGCAGTTGTTGTTGAAGAAGAAGTTGGGCTTGACTGGTTAGTGTGAATAGCAGAGCAGATGAAGGATTAACATTGAGTCATTATCAAATCGTCAGCAAAGAAGAAGGTATGTGAGAGAATTAGTTGACTCGTATTCCTCTTTGTTTGCATTCTTATTATACCAAAATGTGGCTCCTATCTACTACTCCATTTGTTTCTATCATTGTGGCGTAACTACTATGACAAAGTCACAATTTCAAAGAAAGGAACAGATAAAAGCACTAAATTTGTAGTGAATTATTAATTTATTTTTGAACTATTGATAGTTCTAAAAGTATTGTTACTGAATTTAAACACACCTCTAATCTTAAGTGAATTACACTCCTAAATTTTTATCAAATTTAGAAGTGTTTTCAACACTTCTCTCTATTTTTATTAAGAATCCCATGCTTTTACAAAAAGTTGAGATCACTTGCTATGTTACGTGGCAAATTGAAGTGTATTTTAGTTTAGTTAATCAAATAAAAAAAAAGGTGTTGTTTTAAGTTTAGGAATATTTTTAATACTTTTCTAAAAAGAAAGAAAGTCGTATCTAAAATTTGGAGTAAATTTATCTTAAAATATTTGAAGTTTATAAGTTTTTAAATTTTAGTCATTTGGAGTCATTCTGAACCCATACCTTCTACTTTACTTTGCCTCTCATTTATAGTCTCACACTTGTCATTTAAAAAAATAGAAGTATGTTTTAAAGGTAAAAATAAAAAAAAAGTTAAATTTAATAATCTCTAAATATAAAAATATACTCCCTCCGTTTCACAAAGAATGACCTCATTTCCTTTTTAGTCAGTTTAAAAAAGAATGACCTCTTTCCTTTTTTAGTAACATTTTACTTTTTGTTTTTCACGTGGCATGTTTAAGACCACAAGATTAAGGGCAGTTTTGTACATTTGACATAACTTTAATTTAGGACCACAAGATTCAAAAGTCTTCTTTATTTACTTAAACTCCGTGCCAAGTCAAACCAGGTCATTCTTTGTGAAACAGAGGGAGTATCATTTTTCATGAAATAGTTAAATAAAAAAGTTTATGTTAAATTACTTTTAAATATAAAAAGTTAAATGGCTAATAAAAATAATGATGATGTATAAAATATAATTGACTTTCAAACTTACCGGTTTAAAAAAATACTCCCTCTGTTTCAATTTATGTGAGACGTTTCGAATTTCGAGATTCAAACAAGTCTATCTTTGACCGTAAATTTTTCATATATCTTTTAAATATTTTGAATTATTAATTATTGTGACTTATAATACTTTTTATGCAGTTTACAAATATATAAATTTCATTTTAAAAAATTTGAAGATTTCATAAGCAAATTTTCAGCAAACTTAAACTGTTTGATTCTCGAAAAGCAAAATGTGTCACATAAATTGAGATTGAGGGAATTTAAAATACAATTGATTGAATTAATAAAATAACTAACCTAGTCTGTTGAAAAATTCTTAGCCGTATAGGCCAGCTTCGCAATTCGCACGCCCCGAATTATTTATTCTTTACAAAGCTATTTGCATATAATGATAGAGTGGGTAAGTAAATTATTTACTAAAGTTATTTATATTAATAAAGTTATTTAGGTTAAATCATTTCATTTTAATTTACACAATACTACTATGAAACAATAAATAGTAAAGTAAATTATTAATGACATATTGATTGATAGAATAAGTTAGGTCTGAAGTTGGTTTGTCTTAACATAGTATTAGATGTCGATTATATTGTAGATTTATTATTGGTTTACCCTTGCAATAAGGTTGAATTCAGATTACATATGTTTGCACAGGTATAATAATGTTTCTAAATCAATCATTACCTCAAATACATAAATAATAACGAGCGATGAATGTTAAATAATTCAACAAGTCATACATCAATTAAACATGACATTTTGTAATGTATGGAGATAATTTTATAAACCTGCCTCAATTTAAACGAAGCCAGACTTAAGAGTAGGTATGTGAAATTATTTCTTTAATTTTTTATTTGTTTTTTGTGTAGAATAGCTTTGTGGGTAAACATATTTAATCTGAATGATATTATTGATATAAAATAATTATCAATAATTGGACGATCATAATTGTTCATTCTAATAATGCTAATTACTTGACGATATTTTTCTTTTCTTTTTCTGTCAAAAATGAAATACTCCATACCTAATAATTGCCTTCATGTCTCTCTTGATGAGAATTTGACGATATTTTTCTTTCCTTTTTCTGTCAAAAATGAAATACTCCATACCTAATAATTGCCTTCATGTCTCTCTTGATGAGAATTTAATCGCTTGGAAAATGAATTGTAAAGTAGTCAATTTAGGACAATTTCCTGCCCTTATATAGGAAAATTTAAAAAATGATAAATAAAGTTTTGCAAACAATAATTGTTCCAAAGTACTAAATATATAGTCTAACGTGTTTAAGACGAAAGGTAAACACTTGAAGCTTATCATTATTAAATGTGGCCTAATTAATTAGAAATTTGTGCAATCCATATCAATGGATTTTTCTTTCTACTAAAAACTGTTTTATTTTTAGAAAGTGAGGTGTTTGACCAAATTTTAGAGGAGAAATTAAATATTTCTGAAGAGTCACAAAAGTTGCTTTTTTAAAGGGACAAATTACTTAACTACACTCCTTTACTTACCTTAATATCCATTTATTCCTACTTATTTCAAAATTTTCAAAAATCTCTTATTTTACCTATGTATCCCGCTATGTGGAATGTATCAAACGCTATGTATCCCGTGCACAACGCTATGTATCCCGCATGTATCCCGTGCACAACGCTATGTATCCCGCTATGTGGAATGTATCAAACGCTATGTATCCCGTGCACAACGCTATGTATCCCGCTATGTGGAATGTATCAAACGCTATGTATCCCGTGCACAACGCTATGTATCCCGCTATGTGGAATGTATCAAACGCTATGTATCCCGTGCACAACGCTATGTATCCCGCTATGTGGAATGTATCAAACGCTATGTATCCCGTGCACAACGCTATGTATCCCGCTATGTGGAATGTATCAAACGCTATGTATCCCGTGCACAACGCTATGTATCCCGCATGTATCCCGTGCACAACGCTATGTATCCCGCATGTATCCCGTGCACAACGCTATGTATCCCGCAAACATCATTTTTAAGGGATTTTTGGTAAATAAAAAACTAGAAGGGATAAGATGTTATTTAGTACTTATAATATGTGGTTCCTATAATTTATACTTTTTAAAGACTAGAATATTAAACTTGAAAATTAATAGAAACGGTCTGCATGCATTGGGCTTATGATTTTATAAAGAGACTCTTTTATAAATACTAGTAAAGATGTACTTGATTGTGATGATAAAGAAATGGTTGTTCGGTGGTCTTGATGCTTTGTTGAATAACAAGCAAGGAGAGTCCCTAAAAACATTTTTCTGAAAAGTACTTATAAGAAGAAAAAGATACTTTAAAATAAGTTGATTTAAGAAGTTTGACCAAATAAATTATAAAACGATAAGAAATACTAGTGAGGAAGAACTATATATATAAGGGCACTAAAGAATTTCTATTTGGCTTAACTCTTCCTCCCAATATCTATGGGCTTTAAATTTTGGGAAAATTATGTGAAATGACAAACATCTAGAGTATATTATGTAATATAGTTATAGTTTCGATTATTTTTAATCTGTGGGTACAATTTGGTGAAATTTTGCTATTCGGTTTCATAATTGTATAAATTCTGAATTTGTATAATTCGATTTCTAATTGTATAAATTCAAAATTTGTATATTTCGGTTCCTGATTGTATAAATTCAGAATTTGTATATACTTACCCTAACTATTTGTATATGCTTTATGAAAAATTCATAATAAATTACCATGTTTGTGTATTGGCAAACGAAATATACAAACGGAGTTCTCAAAAATTTCTAAATGTAGAAATACAGAATTTGTATATACTTAATTTGTTTGTATATTCGCAAGTGAAATATACAAACTGCAATCTCCATAGCAAACAAAACTATAGCTCTAGAGTGCAATTACTGAAACTATAGCTATAGAGCCTTCCTATTATCTTTGTTATTTCTGAAATTTTCTCCCAATTTCTTATTTTTCTTGCTTAGAGCCTAAGAAGTTCAAACATAACAATTATTTTGAGGCAAATGGTCTTTGTATGTATATCATTGTCAACACCATTACTTTTCTCATTCAAATATTTTATTGAATTTTTGCTTTGTATAATTAAGATGTCTACAGGTTTATTTGAATTTTTGCTTTGTATAATTAAGGGGTTAAGATCTTTAGTTTTATGAATGTTATGATGATGTATATTTCGAAAAAATGAATTGGTATTTTTTTTATATTTGTAGAAATTGCATAATGAATAGGTAAGAAATTTCTTTAAAGCAGAGCAAACTGGACTGAAACAACACGAGTTTGGTCACTTTTGTGGGTAGATCCACCCAAAGACCAAGCCCAATTGGACCAACATGTATATTTTTATAATAAAAGGCAAATATTAAAGTTTTCAATATTATTAATGTCAAATTAACTATTTCAAGAAAGTTCCAATGAAGTAAATTCATGCCAAATACATAAATTTATTTGGGATTGTGAGCAATGTTTTTGCTAGACATAACAAAGACTGAAAAAGGACAATTTTTATTAAGACATGCATAATTTCAATGCTTTTTTTTTTTTTTTTTGGGGCGGTGGGGATTC